AACCAAAGCAGCATGGTACTGATACCAAAACAGATATATAGAACAATGGAACAGAACAGAGAACTCAGAAATACCACCCATCTACAACCATCTGATCTTTGACAAACCTGACAAAAACAAGCAACGGGGAAAGGATTCCTTATTTAATTAAGTGGTGATGGGAAAGCTGAAACTGGACTCCTTCCTTACATCTTATATAAAAATTAACTAAAAATGGATTAAAAATTTCAATGTAAGACCTAAAACTATTAAAACTGTAGAAGAAAACCTAGGCAATACCATTTAGGACACAGGCATGGGCAAAGACATCATGACAAAAAAAACAAAAGCAGTTGCAACAAAAACCAAAATTGACAAATGGGATCTAATTAAACTAAAGAGCTTCTACACAGCAAAACAAACAAACAAACAAACAAACAAAAAAAAAACAAAAAACAACAAAAAAAAAAACTATCAGGGTGAACAGGCAACCTACAGAATGGGAGAAAATTTTGCAATCTATCCATATGACAAAGGGCTAATGTCTAGAATCTACAAGGAACTTAAAAATATTTACAAGACAAAGCAAATGACCCCATCAAAAAATGGGTGAAGGATATGAACAGATACTTCGCAAAAGGAGACATTTATGTGGCCAACAAACATATGAAAAAAAGCTCATCATCACTGGTCATTTGAAAAATGTGAATCAATACCACAAGGAGATACCATCTCATGCCAGTCAGAATGGCAATCATTAAAAAGTCAGGAAACAACAGATGCTGGAGAGGATGTGAAGAAATAGGCATGCTTTTACACTGTTGGTGGGAGCGTAAATTAGTTCAACTACTGTGGAAGACAGTGTGGTGATTCCTCAAGGATCTAGAACTGGAAATACCATTTGACCCACTAATCCCATTACCGGGTATATACCCAAAGGATTATAAATCATTCTACTATAACGACACATGCACAGGCATGTTTATTGCAGCAGTATTCACAATAGCAAAGACTTGGAACCAACCCAAGTGCCTATCAATGTTAGACTGGAGAAAGAAAATGTGGCACATATACAGCATTGAATACCATGCAGCCATAAAAAAGAATGAGTTCATGTCCTTTGCAGGGACATGAATAAAGCTGGTAACCATCATTCTCAGCAAACTAATACAGGAAGAGTAAACCAAACATCACATGTGCTCACTCATAAGTGGGAGCTGAACAGTGAGAATATATAGACATGGGGAGGAGAACATCACACGTGGGGCCTGTCTGGGGATGGGGGAAGAAGAAGGATAACATTAGGAGAAACACCTAATGTATGTGACAAGTTAATTGGTGCAGCAAACCACCATGGCACATGTATACCTAGGTAACAAACCTGCACATTCTTCACATGTATCTTAGAACTTAAAGTATAATTAAAAAAAAAAGAAAATTAACAAATATTGAATTTAAACAGTACTTTAGACAAAATGTACCTAACAGACATACAATGAACATTTATTCTAACAGCTGCAGAAGACACATTGTTCTCCTCAGCACATGGGACATTTTGTAGGAGAATCTAGAAATAAATCTGCATATTTATAACCAGCCGATTTTTAACAAAGACACCAACAAGATACATTAAGAAAAGAACAACCTCTTCAATAAGTGGTGCTAGCAAAATTGGATATTCACATGAGAAAGAATGAAAATGGACCCTCATTTCTCAAAATATAAGAAAATCAACTCAATGTGAATTATAATTCAGAGGCACCAAAATTATAAAACCACAAGAAAAGAAATAGAAGAAACAATTTAGAACACAGATTTAGACAAATAATGCACGGCTAAGACTTTAAAAATACACCCACTCCCCAAAAATAGATAAATTATACTATATCAAACTAAAAACCCTCTGCACAGCAAAGGAAACAATCACAGAATAAAGAAACAACTGGTTAAATGGAAGAAAATATTTGCAAACTATTCATCCAGCAAAGGACTATCATCCTGAACATGCAAGGAACTCAAACTTAAGAGCAAAAAATGAAAACAAATAATCTCATTACAAAGCAGGCAAAGGACATGGACAGACGTTTTTCAAAAGAAGACATCCAAATGACCCACAAGTACATGAAGAAAATGATCAACATCTCCAGTCATCAGAGAAATGCAAATCATAACCACAAGATAGCATCTTATCCCAGTTAGAATAGCAATTACCAAAAAGAAAAAAAAAATAGTAAGAATATGGAGAAAAGGAAACTCTTACACATTACTGATGGCAAAGGAAATTAGTGCAACCACTATGAAAAATAGTGTGGAAATTTCTTTTAAAAATAAATGAAAAATAGAACTACCATATGATTCAGTGATATTGGATAAATACCAGTACAGGGTATTTATCCAAATGAAACAAAAAACAGTATATCAAATAGATACTTACATTCCCATATTTATTGAAGCCCTATTCATAACAGCAAAGGTATAGATCAGCTTAAGTGTTCGGGAATGAATGAATGGATAAGGAAAATTTGCTATGTATACACATCAGAATACTTTTAAATAGAATAAAATCATGTCATTTGCAGTGTTTATGACACTAGAGGTCACTATGTTAACTGAAAAAAGCCAAGAAGAAAAAGAAAAATATCACATGTTCTCTCTCATATGTGTAAACTAAAAAAAAAAAAAAAAAAAAAAAAAAGTGGACCTCATAGAGAGTAGACTGTTGGTCACCAGAGGGTGAATAGGTATCTAACAAGGGTAAAATAGGAAAAATAAAACCTAGTGTTTGATAGATCAATAGAATGAGTACAATTAATAACAATGTGTTGGCTGTTTCAAAATAGCTAGAAGAGAAGACTTGAAATTTCTTCAGCCAATAGGATTAATAAATTTTCAAGTTGATGGATACTTCAGCTACCCTGACATAATCATTACATATTTCACACTTGTAACAAAGTATCACGAGATATTTAAAATGAATAATACTTATATGTGACTAAAGCATATATTTGTGAATTGCTGATTAATATACTTCCTATAATAAACTTCCTAATAGTCTTTTACACATAAATGTTTCTGAATTTTAAAAAATATTGATAAAGCTTACTGAACAAGGATGCTTAAAATGAATTGGTCTTTTTAAATTTGTGTTAAATGGCACAGAAGGGCAATTAAGCTAACTAATAGCACTTTCAGACTTTAAAAGGTCAGTCTTTATAAGGAGGATAACAATATCTCAAAACTCACAATATCGTTATTATTTTACACAAATTTTATGTTTAATTTATTTTGAGAGAATATTTATTTCCTCCTGAAATAAAATGTACCATTTAATCATTAAGAAAAATTTAGGAAATGTTTTAAAAAAAAATGTAAAGAAAGACAGAAAGACAGAAAGAAAGAAAAGAAAGAAAGAAAGACTCAAAATCTTAAACTCATCTTTATTTTCCAGTCAGAGTTGTGATACTCACTGCTAACATGTAGCTTTGCCACTTACTGGCAAAGAACACGGATGTTTAAGTCAGAGCTGGATTCATATTTCAACACAGCTATTTGCTAGCAATGTAATGTTAAGCTTATTATTTAATCTCAGTAAGTCATAGGTTTATGATCTACAAACATTTTCATTACCTCAATCATACAATTGTATTGACTAAGAAGAAATTTCTGAAATATCACAAAGCACATTTTACATACAGTAGTGCTCAATAAAATCTCCCATGAGAAATGTTTAACACGTAACAATGAGAAAAATTACAGAATATACTATATATACAGTAAAATCGTTATTTGAAACATGACCTTATGAAATATGACCTTATAATCTATAGAAAATATATATTTAAAACATGATTTTTGTGTCATTATTGAGAAATTCAATATTCTAATCATTCATTGCACATCCCAAAATATTCAGTCTTTCATTCTATCAATGTCAAATGAGTGACCATGTGTACTGAGCTTAGTGCTAGGTGAACAATATATGTGACAAGGACAAAGTTCCTGCCTTCATGATGCTTACTGCCTAGTGGAGAAGTTATACAACACAAAGAAACAAACACATACTTACAAAATATGACATACCATATGAAAATAAATGAAACACTAAGTGAATTGGCCTCTCTCTCTCTTTCTCCCCCAAACCATCTTTTTCCCTTTCCTCCATCTATCAATATATATCTATCACAATATATATCTATCAATATTTGTGGCAGAAGCTAGGAAAAGGCTTATTTATTTATTTATTTATTTGAGACCAGAGTCTCACTTTGTCACCCAGGCTGCAGTGCAGTGGCCCGATCTCGGTTCACTTAAACCTTCACCTCCCCTGGGTTCAAGCAATTCTCCTGTCTTAGCCTCCCCAGGCACATGCTACCATGCCTGGATAATTTTTGTATTTTTAGTAGAGGCGTGGTTTTGCCATGTTGGCCAGGCTGGTCTCGAACTCCCGACCTCAAGTGATCTGCCCCCCTCACCCTCCCAAAGTGCTGGGATTACAGGTGTGAGCCACCACGCCCAGCTTGAAAAGGCATTTTTAATGGCCCACATTCTTAACTGACACTGAATTATCAAAAAGCCAACCATGCCAGTGACCAAAGAAAGAATATTTCTGGCCGAAGAAATGATATGTGGAAATGTCCTATTCTAAGAAAGAGTGTGGTGTGTTTTAGGAACACAAGAAGACTTACACACATGTCTGAAACATGCTAAAAGTTCAGGATGGAGAGCTCACTGAGGCCATACTGTTGTAACAGAAATCTTGAACAAGTGTTGCACAAAGGTTATGAGGAAAACTTGATTTGAGTTTTTCCCCCTCTATCCTTTGAATTTATCCAGCTAGGGTAATTTCTTTCCTTCGCTGAAATTCCAATAGCTCTACTCTGCTAATTCTGAGGTAAAAAACAGTCTTCCAATTTTGTTACAAACAACCAATGTCTCATTTCAATAACTGGACATCATATAAGATGTTATTCAAAATAAAAAAATTTGAATTAATGTTATTTTTTTTTCCTTTCCTTGCCCAGGCTGCTTCAGATTGGAAGCCCACACCTACCGCAGGTTGTTTTCCAACTAGAAAATGATACAATGGGATAATCCCGCTCTTCATCTCTATCTTGCTAGCAGCATGCATACTCTTCATTAGAAAGGTTCTTTGCTGGAATGCCTAGCCTCTGAACTGGAGCATCTCCAGGGCCCACTGTCTCCCTGACCTCAAAGTCTAGGCCTTTCAATTAGATGACCCAAGACTACCCCACTGTGATTCCTTCTCCCAAGTGGTCTACACTTTCTTTTGTGGCAACACTACCTACCTCTTGACCCTGCAGTCTCTAAGATAATGTACATGTGCTTCTGCACCCTTCTGGCTGCCAAAGCAGTCAGCCCTTTGCTTTCTTTCTAGATTTCTAAAGGCAAGATTCAGACATAGTGCTACAATCTGTCAAACGCAAGAAATAAACTGTGTTTCCTCCCCAGTCCTCAGGCAAAGCAAACATGATTATCTTTCTTTTGTATGTCAGTAAGGTGAGCAACACCATTCTCCCCTGAATGAACCCACTAAAATTCCTGGGTATTGTCCCTGATACTCTGTTTTGCTTTATCCTTCATCATATCTTTAAGTTCAGCCTGTCACAAACATTCACTGACACTATTGATTTTAGTACATGTCAACCTCTTTCTTCCCCTGAATGCTCACAAAAGCCTCCTAGCTTGTCTGTTTCTGTCAGTTTCGTTTTCCTGTCATTTAGTACTGTTTCTTCTCTTTGCTACTTGAGTTATTTTTCTAAATGTAAATCTATTGTAATTTCCCTGTATAAAAATTTTAATGGCTTTTTATTCTATAACTAGAGATTGAACTGTTCTCAGTATTTCTGTTGCTACATTTCCTGTCCTAAATAACCCATCCCTCATATTCCCTCTCGCCAATTATGTGGCTCACTCCTTCTCACACTTTAATCTTGATTTAGACTACAGATCTCTGTCTGACCCCTTGCTATACTCTCAAAGCTCCCCTTACTTCAGTCTAATTCTCTTATCATGCACTTAAGCCATTATTTTTATTTGCTTTCGTTTTATAAGTTAATAATCCGTAATAAGTCATCACTTCTTGACAGCAAGAATCATGTATTATTTTCATCATGGTATCAAGAGTATACAATACAACTCCTGGCAAACTATTAGTGTTTAATTGATATTTGTGGAATTAATTAATGAGTAGGTGAATAAGTGTAACAGTGGGTAACTCAGTATCTAGATGAAAAACATTGTCTCAAGAGCGTTTTCTTTGCCAAGACTACAGTCCCAATTCCCAGCCTCTAACATTCTCAGCTTTAATTTGAGGAAAAATGACTCTGATGGATCAGTTTTTCTCCATTACATAGTTTCCACTTAATTCAGAATTAATTAATTTCAATTAAGAAGGATCATGTGAATATTGACACATTATCAGACACCTAGTTGACTAAAAGTCATCAAAGGTACCAAAATCATAGAGTTCTGGTAGTGAGAAGGTTTAAATGGAATTATTATTTACTAAGAAGAGAGTCAGATAAAGGCAAACCACAGGAGATGGTGCTATCCCCTTACATGAAGCTTAAATTATACAGAAGGGAGGAAGATACTATAAGGATATGTTTTTGAGCTCTATGTAGAAAACTTACATATGGATACAGGAGGAAATTTTATGGGGTGAGAAGAAATAGTCTAAATAAATGGCAAAGGAATCCTTCTCTGAAAAAAGAAGTAAATTCTGTGTGCATTTGAAGGAAATGCCTCACTGGCAGGGGTATTAACAAAGCAAAGCCTCTGAGGTACCAGTATGTTTAGTATGTTTAAGAAATCTCAAAGACAAGTGTGACAGGGATAAAGTAAATGAAGGAGGGAGTTAATTAATACAATCCAGAAAGTCCAAACTGTTTATATTAACTGGCTTTGTTTGAATTGCCATCTCAAATGAATTCGTCAAAGAAATCTGATTTGTCCAACCTCAGTTATATGACAACTACAGGATAATCCAATCTATTGAAGAAGGATGAGTCATAATAAATGTTGCTGGCAGTGTCTTACATTTTTTTGAAGGAAAATTTGTATTGTTTTAATTATTTTTATGTACAGCAAACTCAACAGTATACATTTAACCCAGTTTAAAGAAAGAACAAATTTAAGAGAAGTGTGCTGGGGGGGAGGGAAATCTTGATGGTTGTAGAGATCATACCAAGATTGTCTTCTGTGTGGATGTAAAAGGACAGATCTTTACAGGAAAATCCCTCAGACTTCTGGACAGGGGCTTAGACCTAGGTTATTTGACATTGTATAGAGGAGCCTAAGAATAAGGAAAATCTCATAGATTTACATAATAATAAGACTGGAAAAGAAGTTAAAAATGTTCAGATTCAGTCATTATAAAAAATGAAGTAAGAAAACTTCAGAGGCTAAGTGACGTTCTTTTTTAAGGTTGGTATACACAGCTAATTAGTGGCAACCAACAGACCAGAATACGTATCTTTTGATTTCCTATTCAATTTGGCATAGAAAATAATGTGACTGAGTTCTGAGAAAGCGCAACTTTTCTGGAGAGTCCTTAAGAACACTTCCAAACACAATTAATTAAAATAGAGCTAGTGGCAATGTTAAGATAAATCAGAAAATAGCATTAAAAACAGAATAAATTTAATGTACATCAAAGTACGTCATTATGGGAATGGCTCTCGAACCAAACCCTGAAGGAGAATAGTGTGGCCTCAAATCATTTCAGAGCCTAGGGCATAAAACTTCCATGAAAAATGTTGTTTGTCTGAATTCTTGTAGCAAAATACAGGCATTCATTAAAGTAAAATGTCATAAGGAAAACGAGAAACCCAGCAAAAATTTTTGTGCAAAATTTTCTCACTGTGGTAATGCAGTTAGAAAAAAAATAGAAAAAGCTGTGAGTTTAAGCTCTGGAGTCTGAATTATCTTTATCTGAATCTTTGCTGGGACATGTCTTAGCTATATACAACAAGGCAAGTTTTCAATCTCTTTGAATTGCAGTCTCCTCATTCATTTAAACAAAACAATACAAAACAAAAATCTATATTTCACCTAATATTTCCAGTATATTTTGAGTATTACATAAGCCATACAAATATCTTGCGTATTTATTGATATATATTAGATTTATGTAAACTCTTGGTTTTCATAATAATCTGTGACATTTTTTAACACAGGGACTTTCTAGAGAGATACTTTTGAGTCATTGATCTAAAGTATTTTTCTTCTATTTTTTTCATTATTGTTTCCTAACCATTAACAGTAATGGCAAAAACTGTGATTACTTTTGCACTAACCTCATAATAAAATATTTCAAATATTGTTACTGAGAACGAAATGCAGTGAAAACGTTTGTTGTTTCTATTCATGAACCTTACTAGACTTCTGAGGCACCCAGAAGACTAACACTCTAATAAAGGCTATAGCAAGTAATTGACAAAGAAAGGTTAAATTGCAGAAGCAGAAATTTCTCAGCTCTAGAGAGGTGGTTCAAAGATTTAATAAACTAATTAAAAAGGAGAAAAGAGAAACCGCTGATGGGTCTTGATGTCTTTAAGTAAAGTTGTAAGAAGCACAGTTGTCATGGAGGTAACAGAATAGCCAGAATGTTTTTCTACAAGTGAATTAAGACACACAATGGAAAATGCCTTAATAAATTAAATGCATTGAAAATACATCTGAGTTACTGAGAATTTTAAGAACATTAGATCTCCTATTTTCTTCTATGTAATTTGTAAATTATCTACTTTAATTCCTCTATTTTACAAATGAAGATAACCAAACTTAAAAGTAGCAGGGACTTTTTACAACTCCATTCAAGAAAAGCCAGGTATTCATTTTATAAAAAGTGCTCACTGCAGTTTTCATGGGGTAAATTAGTGGCAGTTTGAGTCACCATGCAGTGCCCTAATGAAATATTCCTGCTTAACTCTAATGGATCTAGGGAGTGACTTTCTTCATAGTGATGGCAATTGTCCATCAGGTTATGGTCCTGGTCATAGAAAGGAAGTTGCAAATTTAAGGGAACACTTCATAATCTCATCCATTGGCAGAAGTTGGCATACATCAGTGAAGAGAAAGAACATCAGGAGTTTACCCTGGAACTCTGTGGGTGCCTTAGGAGATTGGGCAATGTTTTTACTTTTTCATAATGTTATATGTAATGGATTCAACTACTGTAATCACTATTCTGTGCCAATCTAAAAGTAGCCTCATAAAAAATGTTCATTAAACTGAAAAGCATTTTCCTTGATATTTCCTCAAACTATGTCACCATATCTATATTATCAGCAGCAATTCAAAACTTATATAAAGCTGTTTGCTTGTTTTCAATTATCACATGTTAATATTTTCTTATCTTTATCTTTCCAAAACCTTACTTAATGTTTCTGCTTCATCTGCTAATTTATTAGCATCTCATCTTATGGTAATAGTAATAGTTTTTCCTATCAAACATATATTTTTCAGATATTTCATTCTATTCCTGAACTTGAAACATCTTTCCGACACTTTTTCTACTTGATGAAACTTTCTTACTCATCCCTAATACTCAGCTATAAAAGAGTTCCTTCAAGAAGACTTCCCTGCACACTCACATTGGGTGATATGCCTCCTCTCTGTTCCCATCATGCTCCTATCTTGTCAGTATTGCGCCCTTTTGTGAACCATCTACTCCACTCTTAGATATTTTGTCATTCCAGGGCAGTAACAGTGTCACATTCCTCTTTCTACTTCTAGGAACCCTACAGTGCTTATTATGAGAAGGTGCTTAATAAATGCTCATTAAACAAAAGGGAAAAATACAGTAAAATCTACCATACATACAAACATGAGCATATTCTAGGAACACTTACTTGAGACATCAGTTTTTTTTGGTTGTTGGTGTTATATGCTTCACTCAGATACAGTGTGCTTTTTAAGGAAATAGTCAAATTTTAATTCTGCATCAGAGAACAGCTGCCATCTTCTGGGAGAAGTCAGAAGAATCTCTCTCCCTTTTGCTCTCTCTCCTATAAACTGGGAGCATTATTGTTAATGATATTTTGTGTATGTGAAAGGTAACTTGAGGAGAAACAGTTCTTCTTGATATTGAATAAATTAATTGTGAAACCTGTTTTGCTTCCTTTTTCTCCAAGTGGATAAAAATATTCATGATTCTAAAGCTGTAAAAGGCTATTCTAAAACTATCTGCAGACAAGGTTGTCATGGAAACCACCATTTTTTTGAATAGTACAATAAATAGTCATCTAAAGAAATACTGAACACAGTGCACCTTGGTCTAGTAATTAAAGTTGGTCCAGAATTGAAACATCTATGACATGTTTTGCTTTCAGGTATGCCATCAGAGGATATTTATTAACATATTGGGATATTTTTGTAAACAGGTGAGATACAAAATGTTTACTTGCAGCAATAACTTGAAATATGGAATGAGAAGGACACATACTCCTGCTTCATAAATTCCTGTCTCCCCATCACCTCACACATACATACATAGCATGTGCAAACAGGTAAGAATGAAGACATGAGACAGCAAATTGCAAGATTCACAAGAGACCTAGGAAAGTAGAAGACAAAAGAATTTAGGAATACATAAAAGCCAGAGCTTGTTCTAAATTCTCTTTTCCCCACATACCCCAGCTTCCT